AATTCAAAGTGACCAAATTTTTTACATAATTGGTATACAAAATAATACAAAATAATACAAAATAATAATTATACTTATACATATATGAAAAGTTGTAATAATATTTTGATTTTACATATTATAATTATATTTTATTGAAAATTTCTGAAAACGTGTCTACTAGTAAGTGTATTATAGATAACTTATTATTTTAGCAGTTAGTTAATTTATATATATATATATATATATATTATATATAATGATTTTCAAAGAGCAACGAATATTTTTAATATATTAAAGTTTCTAAATATTATGACTCAAATTTAAGGCTCTTAAAAAAAATTTCATGTTTCATGACACTWCGTGAAAAATATATATAATATTTAGGGCAAAAAAAATAATTTTTATCTATTTAGATTAATTTAAAAACAATTTCATCTTAGAGTCAATAAAAAAAAACAAATAAATGGATTTAAATAAAAACTTAAATTAAATTTTGTGTTCATTAATATAAGTGGGTAATTAAAGGTTGAATAAAATTAAATATAATATTAATTTTATTATTTAAATGCTAATTATACCTCAATTGCAGTAAGAATAATTAGTTAATTAGTATATTAACGAAAGATAAAATGTATTGAAAATTACTGAAAATATATTTTATTATTTCACATTTATAATTAAACAGAAAAATATTATCACAATAAGCAAGAATATTGACAAAGATACGTATTCAGCGTGATAATAATGGATACAATAATATATTATTCTTATAAATGTAGTTTGATCTTTAATTTTATTTATTTATTAGATTTTTAAATGTTAAGATGCCAGAAAACCCTTGAACTTAAACACATACAGGCTTTAATGCTTTCAATTTTAGTGTTTAAATTATTTATCATTATTTACATAATACACATTAATTATATGTTTTTCATACATGTTAGATGTCTTTGATGTTTGCTCTAAGAAAATAAACGATCCCGGATTTGAAATAAGAACAATGTCAAATARTTTAGATATATTACATTTTAGTTCATTGAAATCCATATAAAATTATAATATTTATTTAACGTTTGGTAACAAAAGTTATGCGAAATACAATAAAAGCTTCTCTTTTATCCGTCGTAGTAGGTATTAATAATCATTCAAATTATTTTAAAAATAATTTATTCGATACAAATATTTTATAATATAGATAATTTATATAGTATGCCTATCTCTCGATGGTACMCAAAATAATCGATGAACAATTAATACTATTTTGAATCACTTTATTATGCATAAAACAAACACACAAAAATACGGGTCTCTATGAATCGCTTACAAACATATATCGTCTCTCACTCGAAACCCGCACTGTTCGTTACACCTGTAACTCTTACGGATTCTTTCGCATAGCGGTCTTCTCTATATTTTCCTGGTACTCTTTCTCGACCATTCTCTCTGCTGTATTGCCGGTTTTTTGTGTATCTTTTTCCTTCATCGTTGTTTTTACTACGCTGTTTATAATTTCCTCTTGTTTCCCTGTCTTTAACATATCTATGTTTATACGTTACAAAATCTCTGTAATAACTTCTGTCTCTACTACTTGCCTTAGAACTATCATAATTGTTCTTACTTTCTCTTGAGTATGATCTATCTCTATYGTAATTGTTATCTTTGCTATTTTCTCTAGAATATCTATTATACAAACTAGAGGGGTAAGGACTATTATCTCTTTTATTGTAACTTCTCTCTTCGCTATCATTCCTCCTATACGGGTATGGACTGTTATTTCGGTACTCACGTTTATCATTGTAGAAGTCT